ACACATTGAAATTTAGGATAGAAATTTCCATCTCATTTGCTGCTCTTTTTCATTCTCAACTGATATTTCTTTTCAGAGTTCTTTGATATAAACAGCAACATATTTTCATACTAACCCCAAACACCCATGTGGGAAATCGTAACATTTGAAAATTAACTTGGAGTTGTAAAGGGGGTTTTGTTTTCAGAGTTGAAAGAAATCACTGTCAAAAATGAAATGGAAGTTCCCAAACCTGAGCTCTTGTTTATCCTGCTTGGTAGTGTGTGTGGGAAAACTACCAATGAATCTTCTCAGTAATAGCAAAATAAAATCGTTTATCTACCTCTGTTACTCAAAGTACACTCCCAAAGTCTTACAAGGTTTCCTGTTCAGGATGCCTTCTAGTTTGCTCTTAACACATGATTAAAGTAAAGCCATCATCTTTCCCCAGAAAACAAGAACAAGGCCTTTATTGTTTGTTACTCTTATAGAATATTGCACAAACTTCCAAAAATGTTTATTTTGCCTCTAAGTCAGCAGATTGTACTTTCTCAATCTATTAATAATAATAACAGCAACAAAAGATTCTGAAGTTCTACTTAAAAATCATACATGATTGTAAAAGGTCCCAAGAATGCTGAAGCATCACCAGAACACTATAATCTCACTTAACTTCTAACAAGCTTAGAGTTTGAAATCTTAATTTAGAAACCATACACTTAACAAACTGTATGGTTTCTAAATTATACTTTATGTATACTTTAATAGCTCAGTTATTTGGGAAAATATTGTGCAGATGTATCATCACACAAATCTAAAATATAGGTAATAAAATTCTTTATAGTTCATATTTGATAGAAATCTACAAATGAAAAACATAACCTATGTATTAGTAATAAGAGTTTCAAGTCTTCAACTCAGAAATACTTCAGGGGAAAAAAAATCTCACCTAAAGAAAGATTGCCAATAATAATCATAGCTATTGATAAACAGTAACAAAATTTGATGCTCATAACAGGTTTTTCTTTCTCATCACTGTTCATACACAAATTCTGTGTACCTAAAACAGACTGATTCCAAAGTTTAATATAGCTAACTTGAAAAGAAGCCTGAAGCAAATAATTTAAGCTATTTAAATGCTGTCCATAAATCTTAGTAATGATTTTCCTGAGATGATCCTAAAACAGAGACTAAGTAAGCTCTGGAGATTTACACAGAGGACAAAAATTGAAATGCATCAAGCGTTAAAATTAGTGTTAATTTCAACACAGAGAAAGTATCTCCTCTGTCCTCTTTAACGTGGCCAACCAGTACATGCTGTAGTCTTAGCAATAAAAGAAATAAATCCTTGATCTGCTTCATTATAATATAAAGAAATGATATACCACAATACAACTCTGAAACACAATGCAAAATTAACTTGGTGCCAAAGGCATCAAAGAAGCCTTATTCATTCATAGGCTCAGTTCCAACAGTTGCAGGGACAATAGACCACCTTTTTGGGATTCATGCTAATGCCTTCCTAGTTAGAAATCAAGGTAGCTAAAATCCCAAGGGGGTTGACCAAACAACCAGCTATTCACTCCAATGAGAAATCATTCTAAAATAAATTACACGCTTTTTTTTAGGGTAAGAGAAAAAAAAAAGCTGTGTTAGCTAAAAGAAGGTGCCACAACTGGGGATTTTACCAGCAACAGATTTCCAACAGAGGTAGGGTGAGGACACATATCCTATACAGGAAAGCCAAATGACAGAGTCATGTTACCAATTATTAGATTTCAGGACTCAAATAAAACAGTAGTCATTAAATGGATTTGTAATAAGGACTATACTTTTGGAGAGTGGAAATATTTTTCAGGAGGGAAAGAATAATAAAGTGTCCTTCAAGAAAATATGTAGCATTTGAGGATTAAATCACATAACTAAGAATATTTTTAGAAATACTCTAAAGAACAAACTCAATACTGGTAAGATGTTACTCCAGATATGAGTCCTTTTTCCAAGGTACTATGGAAAAAGAAGGAGTAACAGGGCAGAGAGAATATAGATGAAAAAGAATTTAACTAAAAAGTACAGAGGTTGCTCATAGCACTGGCAGACTGCTTCTTCTGACTTGTGACTGTTCTCTGTCCTCAGATACACATCATGGCTATAGTGTAAATTGAGGGAAATGGTAAAAAGTCCTGCAAGTGGATGAGTTTTGCAGACATTCTCATTGTTTAGAAACTCTTAGAAGGTTGTTTGTATTATAACCCTATGTTCTTTAAGGTATTATTTAGTAAGGCTCTCATACAGTCATTCAACAAATACTTAATTGATCTCAAGGTAACAGGTACCACTATACACAGAAGATACAGCAGTAAATGAAGCAAAGATCCTGCTGTCATGGAATGTCCTTTCTAGGGGAGGAAGGCAGAAAATAAATAATTAAAGAAAAACAAATACACAAAATGTTCAGTATCATTAAAGTGGAAAGTGTCATAAAGGAAGACCACTTAGCAGGTCCAGGAGGTGAGATGGTAGTAGCTTAAGACAGAGTGATAACCAGTGTAGTGGAAATGGGGAGAAATGGACAGATTTTGGATGAATTTTTAAGGGAGAACTGACAGGATTTGTTGATAAATTAATTTTGGGGTTTGAGAAATGGGAAGAATAAAAACTAAGTAAGAGATTACAGCATGGCTATAGGATATAAGGTTAATATATAAAACTCTACTGTACTCCTATATACCAGCAATGAACAATTGGAATTTGAAATTGAAAACAAAACAAACATCAAACAGCATCAAAATACTCAGGTATGAATATAACAAAATATTTATAATATCTACATGAGGAAAAACTATAAAACTGATGACAGAAATCAGGAGAGCTAAATAAATGGATAGTCCATGTTCCTGGATAGGAAGACTCAATATTGTTAAGATGCCAATCCTTCCCAATGTGATCTACAGATTAGGTGCAATCCCATTCGAAATTCCAGCAAGTTGTTTTATAGATACTGACAAACTGACTCTACAGTTTATATAGAAAGGCAAAAGATCCAGAATAGCCAACTAAATACTGAAAAAAAAGTAAGAGGACTGAAATTATCTGACTTCAAGGTCTATTATAGAGCTACAGTAATCAAGATCACATGGTATTAATGAAGGAATAGACAAAAAGGTCAATGGAATACAACAGAGAGTCCAGAACTGACCCACATAAATATAGTCAATTGTAGGAGCAAAAGCAATTCAATAGAGAAAGAACAATCTCTTCAACAAATGGTGCTAGAATTGAACACTCACACGCAAACAAACAAACAAACAAACAATATAGACACTGACCTGTTAATTTTTTTCACAAAAAATTAACTCGAAATGGATCATAGACTTAGATGTAAAACACAAAACCATAAAACTTCTAGAAGTCAACATAGGAGAAAACCTGGTGACAATGGGTTTGGTGATGAGTTTTTAGATACAACACCAAAAGTATGATCCATGAAGAAAAATAGGTCAAAATCTATTAAAATTTAAAACTTCTGTTCTGCAAAAGACAATGTTAAGAGAATGAAGCCAGGCTCGGTGGCTCAGCCTGTAATCCCGCGCCTTTGGGAGGCTGAGGTGAGTGGATTGCCTGAGCCCGCGGGTTGAGACCCGCCCGGGCAGCGAGACCTCATCTCTACAACAAATCAAAAAAATCAGCTGGGCGTAGTAGCGCATGCCTGTAATTCTGGCTACTTGGAAGGTTGAGGCGGAAGGATCGCCGGAGCCCAGCAGGTCGAGGCTGCGGTGGCCGGGAGTGGCCACTGCACTCCTGTCTGGGCAACCGAGTGAGACTCCAACTCAATAAAAAAAAAAAAGAGAGAATGAAAAAACAAGCCTTGGTCAGGAGAAAACATCTGCAAAATACATATGTGATGAAGGACTTGTGTCTAAAATATACAAAGAACTCTTGCAACTTAACAAAAAGAAAACAACCCAATTTAAAAATGCACAGAAGGTCTGAAAAGACACTTCACCAAAGAAGATATACAGGTGGCAAAGAAGCATGTGAAAAGATGCTCAACAATATATATTATTAAAAGCACAATGAGATACCACCCTGCACCTATTAGAGTAGCTAAAATCCCAAAACGAACAATATCCTGCTAGCAAAGGTGCATACTGCTAAATGGAAGAAGCCAAAACGAAAAGGCTACATACTGTATGATTCCAACCATAGAACATTGTGGAAAAGGCATAACTATAGAGAAAGTAAAACGTTCAGTGGCAGCCAGGGGTGGAGGTGGGCAGAGGAATGCATAGATAGAGCACAGAAGATTTTTAAGGCGCTGAAACTATTCTGGGCCAAACTCAGTGGCTCAGCCTGTAATCCCACGCTTTGGGAGGCCGAGGTGAGTGAATTGCCTGAGTTCGCGGGTTTGAGACCCGCCTGGGCAACTTGGCGAGACCTCATCTCTACAAAAAATCAAAAAACTAGCTGGGCGTGGTAGCACGCACCTGTAGTTCCAGCTAATTGGAAGGCTGAGGTGGAAGGATCACCAGAGCCCAGCAGGTCGAGGCTGCGGTGGCCGGGAGCGGCCACTGCACTCAGGTCTGGGCAACAGAGTGACATTCCAACTCAAAAAAAAAAAAAAAAAAAGAAAAAAAGAAAAGAATAGAAAAGAAACTATTCTGCATGTGACAGTGCATACATAACACTATCCATTTGTCAAAATCCATAGAATTGTGCATTCCAAAAATAAACCCTAGTGTAAGCTATAAACTTCAGTTCATAACAGTGCATCAATTTTGGCTCATTAATAGTAACACATGTACCATACTAAGGCAAGAGTTAATAATAGAAGAAACACTGTATTAGACTGGGGCTTATATGGGAAATCTCTGGACTATCTATTCAATTTTTCTGTAAATCTAAAATTGGTCTTTTAAAAAAGTCAATATATATTTCTTTAAATGACTCCAAGGTTTTTGGTCTGAGCTCCAGAATGAATAGAGCTATATTTACCAACATGGGGAAAACTGCAGAAGGGGGGCAAATCAAGAGTTCTTCTTAGACTTGCCAATTTGCAATGCCTTTTAAATCTCACTGTAGATGTCAAGCAGGCAGTTAAACGTATGAGCCTGAAGTTCATGGTAGAGGTTGAGGTGGAAATATACCAGCACATTGATGTTTAAAACTGTGGAACCAGATGAGTCTGCTTAGGGAGTGAGTATAACGAAGACGAAAGCCAAGAGGAGTGACCCCCAAAGCACTTGAACATTGAGAGGCCAGAAACCTGAAAAGGGAAAGCAAAAGAGGCTGAGAAATGTCAAGTCATGAGAGGATTACTTAACCCACTCAAATCCTCAGTTAGGTTCTTGCACTAAACATCTCCTATATCCTCATGGATTTGTACATCTTAGTTGGTATCCATTATAGAAAACAGAAACGAGTATTAAAATTTCTAATATTCTGACATAATTTTACCATCTTTGTTTCAGGATATATCATTGTTTCCTGAAGTCTTTGTAGTGGCAAAGCTCTTGATCTAGCTTTGTTTATCTTTGAATTCCTTCATCCTTTAACAGGTCCTCGAATTCCTTAATTCCTTAATCCTTAGTAGGCTGCTTCTCCTGAAATGCTGCTTCCCAAGAACAGGGTTGCTTTTTAAAAATATTCGTTACATCTGTCTCTCCTTTCCACCCCTCCTCCTTCCCCCTCACATCATATATTCTCTCTCTCTCTCTCTCTCTCTCTCTCACACACACACACACACACACACACACACACACACACACACACACACACACACACACCTACCGATTTAGGGCCTTCTCACCAGCTGCAGGTAGGTACTCCTTCTGCTATTATTTCATGTCTAGTCATAATGAACTACTCTCAGCTTTCAAGTTCTCTCAGCCCTCAATTCCTTACTCATGCTATTACATTCATTCTCATCTCTGTTCCATATCAAATGACTAAGTATATTTCAAACATCTTGTCTTCCAGTAAGTTTTCCCAGACTCCCATCTCTTATCCCACCAGTTGAGGTTAGGCCTTCTCCGTCTGTGGTCTTCTTCAGTGCCCTGTACGTATCTATCATTAGGTTTATCACACTGGATATAAATTTCTGTCCATCTCAGCTCTAGACTAAGAGTATCCTGTGGGTAAGGTCTGTGAGGTTTTGTACCCCTTGAGATCAGGCAGCCGATAAATAAGTGAGCAACTTGGAAAATACTGAAGTAATCTGCAAATTATCTTTTTATCCTATCCCAAAACCAAAAGATGGATTTATTTTGCCTCTAGATTGTATATAATTATATTCATATTCATTTATATTTGTTATATTTAAATTAAAAGTACAATTATGTAATGTATAACATTTTTACTGAAGAGTATATTATTTTAGTGTAAGAACAGTAACTAAAATTTTAATTTTCCCTATATATCTCAGTGTTTAAAAAATCAGTTATTTTTCTCCTTCTTATAAATGCAATAGATTTAATAATAAATAATTGGTTCATTTCTATTATCTGAGTTACTACTGTGATAATACAAATCACTAATAAAATATTTTAAAAGAAACTACGTCCTTTAAAAAAGAAAAATTACTACTAGTAGTCTTTAAAAGCTTTGTTGGGAGAAATTAATGTGGAAACGAAAAAAGATCTGCAGTCCACTGAATTCAACGTAGGAAAAAAAGAATACATTCTTTTGAAAACAACACTGAGGGAAATAGGATATGATGTTCATTAATAAGCTAAGCATCAGTGGATCTTTCCCCAAGATGCCTTTGCTGAAGCACATTTTCCTCTATCTCTCTTCTTCTCTCTCTTTTTAAAAAACAAAACAAACCAAAAAAACACAAAAAAACAAAAGCTAAGCATCAGATTAAGCTAAGTATCACAGGTCAGGAATCCTAACTTTGGCTCTGACGCTCATTTCTTATGTGCACTGAATTATTTTCACTATTTTCAAGGCATAAATTCTTTTAATTATACAAGAATCTTGCCAAAGAGTTTTAATCAAACCAACTTACAAAAGTTCCTAGACTCTTAGTCTCTGGCTGCTGAACTAACAGAGAAGTAATTTGGAATATAAAATGTTTACATTTGTCTCTAAATTTCTAGAGTATTCGGATTGGAACGTGCCAAGGAGAACACTTGGAATACGTTTCTCTCAGATAATATGGCTAAGTGTGTTGATTTAAGGTTACCAATTGCCATAAAACAACAACAACAAAAAGAAATGCCACTCTTTGTGGGACTGGGAGGATAAAATGGCCATTGGCAAGGTTCCATCCCCACATTTACTATCCTTCTCTGACACTGAGAGGAAAGAACTATCATAACCTAGTCAGGTCTGAAAGAATGAATGATTCACTGCTATTACGAAGGAAGGAACTACAATCCTTCATTTAAAATAAAAGGAGATTAATAAATCATTTTTTAAAATAGTATCTTAACTGTCCCTGAATTTTTTTAATTGTATAAAACACTTTAGTTCACTCAACTATTTTTAAATTTCGATACAACCACAGAAAAGCTTAAAATATGTTAACTATGGTTTTCCCGTCTCTTGTATCTTCCTGAAGAAACTAAATTGACATTGAAATCGGGAGATGACATAGGGTCTATCAGAAAAATAACACTGGTGGTTGAAGAACAATTTTTTTTCCTCATAATTTGAGTCCTTGTATATGTCACTTAAGATATGTTCCCAGCCAGGCTTGGTGGCTCAGCCTGTAATCCCAGCGCTTTAGGAGGCTGAGGTGAGTGGATTGCCTGAGCCCGCGGGTTTGAGACCCGCCTGGGCAACTTGGAGAGACCTCATCTCTACAACAAAAATCAAAAACTTAGCCGGGCATGGTAGTGCACGCCTGTAGTTCCAGCTACTTGGAAGGCTGAGGTGGAAGGATCACCGGAGCCCAGCAGGTTGAGGCTGCGGTAGCCGGGAGCGGCCACTGCACTCCAGTCTGGGTGACAGAGTGAGACTCCAACTCAAAAACAAAACAAAAAAGATATGTTCCCATTTACAATTACCTATAGTATTAATACTATTACAGAAACTAACTTTGTTATATATTTCTCCCATTTAGGGCACTCAAGAACTACCAATGGCATGGTGGTTCAAAGATGAGGTAATCAAGCTATCCAAACAAAAATTTGGTTTCACTTATAATCTCAGCACTAAAAAAGATAGGTCCCTGGCTATAGTTAGGATTCCTCTTGTTGTTGCATCTTTAAATCCAGCAGGTCTCTTTGATCTCTGTGGATCTATGAATACAATTTTATGCTATTGCTGTGTCAATTACTAAAGGTGCTCCATGAATTCCTCAGATTCATGTTAGCAAAGAAACATCTAGATAGAGTACTCTCCATATAGATACCATCCAAATATAAAATTTAATATGGCACTTTATAGTGTAAACTAAAAATTATTTTACATTAGCTTTAGGAAGTATTTTTAGATGAGAGAAAAAAGTAGATATATTCTTCCCTTAAGAAACACTAGCAATTAATCATTACATACTGCATGAGCATGATTTTCCCACCAGATAATCAGAAACGGGCACTTTACCAGTTGTATTCTTCCACTGGAGATCAGTAATTAGCATTAAATCAATATTTTCACAAGGACTAGCACACATAAGACCTTCTGACATGAAAAATATGACAAAGTTTTAAAATTATGGTCATATGTATAACTGCTTTACAGAAAATACTAATCCCAAACTGTACTTGTTCTCAAAGTAATGCATTTACTCACAGCCACTCAAATACACATTTGCCCTGGAATGGAATCTGTCTGTACTCTTGCTAGAAATTATGTAAACAAAATCGCCAGTTCAAAAGCCTGGGAAAATAAATGGGAAATAGACACAAAAACTATTTGGGCATTTTTAGAAATGCACACAGATATCACATAAACGTTGCCTAGAGCTCTTATCTTTTAAGGAGGCAGCAAATATATATATATATATTTATATATATCACAAAATAAATAATAGAAACAGTACAAATATATATGCAAATATATATTTAACTGTGAAATGGATTTAACAAACAATACAGTGGGATTGTTTGTTGTCACTAGGGAAATGTTTTATGACCAAGCTATAGGTAACTATGTAAATGACAGAGTTTGGTCCGGTTTTACAACAGAATCTTAAACTTGAGAACTTCAATAAAGGAGACAGTTCTCAGACCTTACATGCTACATGCTTTTTGTGAGTAATATAAGATTGAACCTCCAGCAAACTTCTTACTTCTCTGGATCTCAGACTTTGTATGCTACCCACTTCTTCTATTAATAAAAGTATTATTTAATGTTTCTGAGGAAAACAAAGCATTAAAAAAAAAAAACAACTCTATACTCAAGCAGCTAAGCAGCAGTCTAGGAAGGTGATTCACAACTGATGTGCTGAGGTTGGTTGTGCAGTGAGTGGCAAGCAACTTGTTTATAACACTGAATTTCTAAAGTTGGCAGGATTTAAATATAAAGCTAATATTCTCGATAATATATTATCAGTCTCATCCACTCACATTCTAACATGCTTTCTTCAGTGAGTAAGAGTGAGAGTGAAAGGGGAAGTTAGTACTAAAAAGTCCCGGTAACAAAACAGACACCAGGGACTCCTAAAGGAGGGACAAAGGGAGGGGACAAGGGATGAAAAACTACCTCTTGGGTCCCATATTCACTGTTTGGGTGATGGGCTCAGTAGAAGCTCAAACCTCACAATCATACAATATACTCACATAAAAAGCCTGCATATGTACTCCTGAATTTATTTTATTTTTTTATATTTTTATTTTAAAGTTGTGGGGTACAGTTAAGAGTTAGGTATACAAATATTCATTGTGCAGATACACTTGTTAATGCCCCCTTGTCCTCAGACAGATATTGACTACCGTTAATTCCACCTTCCTTCCCCTCCCTGCCCCCCCCCCCCCATAGTTTGTATCTCTGAATTTAAAATTTAAAAAGTAGTAGTCCTGGGAACAATATACTTGCCAAACCCCATATTATTATAAAAGTAAGAATAATGGCTACTTTTGTGGGGAAGAAGGGAATTATGATTGGGATAGGGCACATGGAAAAGGTTGTGGGAAGGCTGGAAAATTCTCTCTCTCTCTTTTTTTTTTGAGTCAGTGTCTCATTCTGTTACCCAGGCTGGAGTGCAGTGGCATGGTCACAGTTCACTGTAGCCTCCACCTCCTAGACTCAGATGATCCTTCTGCTTCAGCCTCCTGAGTAGCTGGGACTACAAGTGCGTGTCACCACATCCAGCTAACT